CCGCAAGATCTTGTGCATCTCATACATTGAACATGTAACCAACGAAGAAGTCCACAACAGGATCCAACCAGCCATTGGATCCTATGAAGATCTTTTGACCACTGTAAAAAGCGCAAACTGAAGTGGTACGGTCATGTCTAAAGATCGTCTGGACAGGCAAAAAAATCTTTCAAGGCACAGTGCGAGGGTGCATAACAAGAGGAAGATAGAAAAAGAGGTGGAAAGAAAACATTAAGGAGTGGACAGGCATGGGATTTCGAGATTCACAAAGGCAACAAAGAACATGGAAAGATGGAGAGAATTGGTTGTAAAGATAACTGTGGTGCCCAAACACCTCTCTATTTAAGGGATTGATGATGATGATGATGATGATGATGATGATGATGATGATGATCATCATCATCATCATCATCATCATCATCATCATCATCATCATCATCATCATCATCATCATCATCATCATCATCATCATCATCATCATCATCATCATCATCTTCATCTTCATCTTTATCTTCATCATCATCATCATCATCATCATCATCATCATCATCATCATCATCATCATCATCATCATCATCATCATCATCATCATCATCATCATCATTGCATTAATTATTATTCCATTCCCTACTATATTAGAGTTAGCCTCTATCCCCTCCAACCCTCTTTCTGATGAATATCCATCATAGTAGATTCGTAGTGCATGATAATGAAAATATGAGTATTTGTGAATGGTTTACTGACAAGTACGGTTATGGATACGTAGACCTTGGCAGTTAATCCCAAACATTTTACATCATCATCATCATCGTCATCATCATCATCATCATCATCATCATCATCATCATCATCATCATCATCATCATCATCATCATCATCATCATCATTATCATCATTGCATTAATTATTATCCCATTCCCTACTATATTAGAGTTAGCCTCTATCCCCTCCAACCCTCTTTCTGATGAATATCCATCATAGTAGATTCGTAGTGCATGATAATGAAAATATGAGTATTTGTGAATGGTTTACTGACAAGTACGGTTATGGATACGTAGACCTTGGCAGTTAATCCTAAACATTTCACATCTAACAAAGATTTATTTTGAGAGAGAGAGAGAGAGAGAGAGAGAGAGAGAGAGAGAGAGAGAGAGAGAGAGAGAGAGAGAGAGAGAGAGAGAGAGAGAGAGAGAGAGAGAGAGAGAGAGAGAGAGAGAGAGAGAGAGAGAGAGAGAGAGAGAGAGAGAGAATAGTGAACACTTTGCCTGTTTCAACATCTAGTATAACAAGTGAATTGCAGAAATTTTAAGTTTTCATTTTATCAAAGAGTAAATTTTATATTGGTAATGAATATACCCAAATGTTAATTCCTCTAATTTATCGGAGTTCTGTTTCTCGTGATTAATTCAGCAATGTGAAGATTCTTTACAAGTTATATATCATACTCTCTATCACTGATGAAGATTCCCTAGACCGCTCCGATGACCTAGTTATTAGAGCGTCCGCCTATGTTGTGGGAGGTAACGGGTTCGAACCCCGGTTGAGTCATGCCAAAGACTTATAAAAATGGTACTAAAAGCTGCCTCGCTGGGCTTTATGGGGTTACCGTTGGTGACTGGTCTGCCCGGAGTCACGATAATCTAACTGGGTGGGACATCATGCTACATATTTGCGTTATGATGCGTCAGTGCTAGATATCACAATATACTGCCACACTTCTGGTATCATAACTATGTGATTGAAAATGAATCATTAAAAATTCAAATCAAACACACATACCTACTTAATTTAAATTGACTATAACCTATCCAATGAACCATTATCTTTTCTTCAATCGTTCTGGTGTTTTGAATATGCATGTCGGATAGATGATATTCGCTTGGCTTAAGCAATATGAGAAATAATACACCTTGAAGAGATTATCGCTTTCATATAAATGTCAAGACCTAAACTAGACAAAGTAAAAATTCCCCGGCTAATTAGAGTCAAGACATATATTTGCTTTGTTTTCAATTTAGTATATACGGAATAAGATCCAATAAATAAGCAATTTCAATCGCTAACTATTGGTTACAAGGAACAAACAAAATAAATGTTGAATAGTAGTGCAATTGCGCCATTCGGTCGAAAAATCCATTCAAAGTACACATCCTGGTTTGTCTAATTATTTGCACAACTGTAATAGTTCTTGAAGTGAGCAATCATGTAACCATTGACGATACTTCACAAACAACGCTAAAACAAGGTTGATATAAATCAAAATAGCTCTTTAAATTAGTATGGTTATTATTATACATAAATAGATCATTTGTGTATGATGTCACCCTATTCAATTAAGTCTTATAAAAATACTGATTTGATTTCAATTCAGAAAAGGTATAATTAAGTTTCATAGAATCAGATGGGTAGACGTACGAACAGACAGATGGATATTCACCCAGAAATTATACATATGTTACGTATGCATATATACAGACATTCTTACATATATAAAGCTAGATGAATGCATGGATAGGGTGATATTGCACGAAACGTAATACTTGTATTAGTATAATCTGCAATGTGACCTTTCTTTTGAAACGTATAAGCCAGATAAGTGTTACCTACCTTTTGAGTCTGTGTATTTAATAAAATCTGTGTATGCCTAGGTTTTGCAAGCAAATGTGTCATTGTCTGTGTTATTTCATTAACTACCTGTATGCGTAGCTTTTGCGAGTAAATATATATGCGCAACGTGACCTTGAAATGTATAACAAAGCGTTCATATGTTCATATACGAGAAAAATGTTAATATTAATGTAAAAAAATCTAAGAAAATTTCTGGTGAGAGAAAGAAATCTGCTATACTAAAAAATTGATCTAGTCCTGCTTACATTCTGAAATGGTTGTGACAGTAGTCAAACCCAACTCAGGATACATGCATGTGTGTGACAACCTGAATATATTTGTCGGGTCATTTAAGTAATTTAACCTGGTTATTACATCTGATTGTGCAAATGACCAGTGTGTGTGTGTGTGTGTGTGTGTGTGTGTGTGTGTGTGTGTGTGTGTGTGTGTGTAACTTAAGTACTGAAAACATAGTAATAAATTGACGGGTGCCAGTCAGTCTGGTTTTGCTCTATCCTTCGTTGTTGCCTTATAGGATGTCTAACATTTGTAAAAATTAAATAATAAATTTCAAATTTAAAAATTCACAGGTATTGCGCTATGTTCATGTTCCAAAGAATAAATAACAATATTACTGCAAAACAAAATCTAAAAAACATCTCTGGTGTGAGAAAAAAATCTACTGCACTGAAAACGATTGACGTAGTTATGCCTAAATTACGAAATAATTGTGCCAGTCATCAAACCCAACTCAGGTAAAACACTTTTTATCAGCCTTTCGTATAATATTAACTTTGTCTCACGTTTGCTTTGATGCTTTGTAATGTTGTCTCATAATTATTTACTTGATATAATATTAAATTTTCAGTTGAAATTGATCTTTTCTATGCAATACCTCAACAATAACATACTTAAAATTAGATATTATTTATAAGCAGTAGTTGATATAGCCATATTAAAACTTGATAATCTCTTTAGATGCAACAGTTTATTATAGTCATACCTAAATCTATAGACCTAATTATATTCAACAGTTGATTATAATTATACATAAATCTGTGGACATAATTATATTCAACACTTAATATATAGTACATAGAGCTATAGACTTATTTATATGCAAAGGTTCATATAGCCATACCTAAAGCTGTGGATTTCTTATATGCAACAGTTTATACACCCATACCTAGCTCTGCTGATAACTTTATGTGCAATAGTTGATAGATTCATACCTAAATATGTAATAATTAAGGCAGTTAAAAAACCATAAACAAGAAAAGAAAATATTTCACCTATAACATAATAGAACTTTTTCTGGCTTCCCTTTTTTATATTGTTCAGTGTCCGTTAGATATGTAAAACAAATTAACAGCTCTCCTAGTTTCAACATGTTGGACCCAGTCCTTCCTGATAACTTTCTGTATGTTCTCAATTGTATCTCATTCATTTCAATGTCTTATTTCATATATTCAACTTCTCTGCAACGTCTGCAACCTTTGCATGACCTCCTTATTATTGTTCATAGATCTTACATTAATAACTTTAAAAGGAATTTCCGGACTATTTTCTTTTATTCATTATATTTTACAGCAAATATTTCTCTCGCATTTTGGTGAGACGGTTCACTTGTGAGACGGTTCGCTTGTGTATATTATTTGTATTTTTAAGTAGTCTGTACGGCCTGCATGACCCGTTTATTCATAGTTCTTAAAGACTACAGGGGAGATAAATCATCTTTAATCACAGACTGTAGACGTGGAATTTTTATACCATCGTGTTGGTTGTTTAATAAAGTTTTCATTTCATCTTGTATTTGCTTGCTGCGCGATCCTTTTCACGACGATTCCAACCATTTTTATGTATTGATTTGTTAAGCTACAATTGTGTCATTGATGTCCACATCAATAATGCATGACATTAAAAATTTAAAGATCCTTTCATTGCACTTACAACCATGTAAGGTGTCGTCATTTTAGAGCGTACCTTTGTATTCTTTGTTTATCAAGATTGACTTAGTAATTGCAATCGATAAAGGCTAAATACGGATTGAAAACGCTTAGAATAATTTAAAGATAATATGTGTAAATCGTAATATATATATATATATATATATATATATATATATATATATATATATATATATATATATATATATATATATATATATATATATAAAACGTAGCTTTAAAATGATTCACTCATATCGCTAAGATATCTGCAGTGTGGCAGTTTATAGTGATGTCAAGCACTGGGGCATCATGATGCAGACATGTAGCATGATGTCCAACCCAGTCACATTATCCTGACACTAGGCCGACGAGTCTAAACACTAGCCTCTTAATGCTGAGCTTCAAGCGAGGCAGCTGTTAGTACCATTTTTTTAAGTTTTGGTATGACTCAACCGGGTATTAAACCCTCGACCTCCGCATCCGAGGCGGACGCTCTAACCACTAGGCCACCAGACGAACTATAATTTGCTTGATAATACGGATGAATTGTGCATGTATGTATAATGGCACCAATATAGCTTGACAGGTTAGAGTTTTAATTCATTCCATGCTGGAATCGAATCAGGCAATGTGTAACTTCGACTGTGTATGAAATTACAGTTATTCACTTTAGGTCATTCACAGATTCGTACTGCTTCATGACTAGGTGATATATGATAAATTTATTCGAAAGACGAAACCCTATTTACCTGAGAACTTATTACACCCAGGGGGCATTTGTATGTGTCGATACCAACCATTTTGATGAATATATCTCAAAAATACTTATATGGTAAACACTATACATTTCAGTATGAAGTCCTTACTGTTCTATTCGGAGACGCGTGCAAGGATATTCTTTGTGGATAATAAATCTGATTGGTTCAATTTGTATTTGTTAGGAAAATTCGTAACTAATGTTTACATATTCATTTTGGCCACATTGTTTAATACCTGATTTAAAAATTGAAACATAAGTTGTTCTTTTGCACGAAAAAGCATTTTTGGACACTGTACTTTGAAAAATAAAACTGCAAATGTTTCATTCCTTGCATAAGAAATGAAATTATATTTAATGTAAAATGCAGGCTTAATATTTATAGCTTATCATTAACACAGTTATGTGCAATTATTTATAACATATTAAATGAAATCTTTCTGATACTGGAAAGAAACTAAAAATATTCTGCGGTCTGTTTCACGGTTTCCTTTTCAGCATGCCTCAAAATATAATATGATATTTTAGGTTGATCGATCAGTTTCATGAATCAATCCTTAAAACAAAACATGTTGAATAGGTCCATTGCATATAGATATCAACACATACAATGGCTTGAAATATTCTATTCCCAAAGTCCGAAATAAGTACGTTTGGTATTGCTGACAGCAAAACCCACCAGAAATATACAATATTTCACCATTACCAACTCTGTCATGTGTGATTGTAGACTGATAATCTTATATCAGTTTACTGAAAACGGCTTTCATATTTATAACCTAGTGACATAAACTTAATGGTCAAAAGACAAGGATGGTCAGAATTATTCAAGAAAAGTTAAATGACGTTTGTCATAAATTTAAGTACAAAGAAAGTGAAAAGTATAACAGATACAATTTCCAGAGGAAAAAAAACTTTCCTTTAACTTACTTAGTTTACACTGTATTAACCGCTCAAAGTGATGCACCATTTCTAACCGGCAAGTTTATTTACTTCAGAAGAATGTTGTATGTTTGGTTATGTTTTTACTTCAACAACACATTATACGTTAGATGATATTTTTATTTCAAAAGAACGTTATACGTTAGGTAATAATTTCACTTCGAAGATTTTGGTTCTTTTGCTGTATTTGAGTATTTGTTACTAAATTTACTTTTGGGTAGGGGTTGGTGAAGGATTAGAATGTGGTATTTGATAATGAATTATTATTGTACCTTGTGCGGACCTAATTGCCTTCCTAATCAATGGATTTTGAGGGTTTAAATGATAGAGGACCCTTTAAGTTTTGTTTTCTTCAAATTAATTACAAAGCATTATCCTTTGATTCTAGCCATAAAACTTGTACCAAGAAAAGTGTATGTCTTGCTAGATTATGATGGAATATAAAACTATATTGGAAAATAATCTGTTGTCCATTATCGATACATCATACGCACCGATATATCATACTCACTTGCCTCCTGGAACACGTTTGGGAGAAACATTCAACCATCACCAGTCACTGGATGCTTAAAGACAAGGCATTCTTGGAATCGGCGTCTTTGGTTAATTCAGATACCACCCTATTCGGTAAGGTGGCAGGGACTAGTTTCGCATATTGGCCCCTGGCAAATTTCTTAAGGGTATAGTGTGAGGTTTTGAGCTATTATTGTGCAGTAATGAAAGAGATGGATACATTTGTGAAATATGTGTTTCTGGCCTGTACTGTTCTTGAAATTGATGTGAGGCCTGTCCACCTCCAATAGTCACGTCACAGTATGTAGCCACTGAATACCAATTGTTGGCTAGGAAGTAGAGCTAGCCACACATAGCAGTATACGCATTTTTTATTCAAGGCAAGAATAATATCTCATAAACGCTTGGATGACTACTATTTTGAATGTCATCTGGCCAGTTAATAAACAAGGTGTTTCAAAAATACCGCCCAGGGAAAAGGCTTGAGTTTGCACTGTGAGCACCAAATGCTATCAAAAATTACCTTCGGATATGAACAAGGCATGTATATAATAGAGGCTGGGGTGCATAAACATTTTATTTTGAGACATTCATGTCACGTGTGTGATATGATTATGTTATGTTTCATAAAACTTATTAAAAAATACTGACCTTTTTGACCCCACTCGTGTATTATTTTTTAAGAATTTTTATATTAGGCGGATGCAATCGACATTAAATTTGGACAGAAATACTGGCCCATGCTCCCTATGGAAAAAGTCTCTCTCTCTCTCTCTCTCTCTCTCTCTCTCTCTCTCTCTCTCTCTCTCTCTCTCTCTCTCTCTCTCTCTCTCTCTCTCTCTCTCTCTCTCTCTCTCTCTCTCTCTCTCTCTCTCTCTCTCTCTCTCTCTCTCTCTCTCTCTCTCTCTCTCTCTCTCTCTCTCTCTCTGTTAAATCCACCTTAAGATGATAAAACTTCTGAAAATGAAATTGTCAATGTAAACACATTAGTCTTTCTTTTAAAGTAATTGGCTGTTGATATTGAAAACCTTTCGCTATGGAGTATTTAGGAACGAACTAGTTAATATTGGCATCGGTATCAAACGTAATTTTGTTTAACAAATATGAATGAAGCTTTTGTAAAATGGATTTTATCTCTGAAGAGATTATGTGCCTGTCGATTCATTTACATATAATGGTAACGGCGTAGAAATGCATAATTCCTTAATAGAGTTAATTAGTTACCAGTTAGACCACGACATATACACTACAGCTATTTCTTTGAATCTGGTACAAATCAAATTTGGACTTGAACTTCTCATCGCCATATAGTCTGGCTCAATATCATTTGCTTATTATAAGTTTCCAAAATAAATTTCAGTCAAAGGATACTTTTTTGGTAAAATCCCGAAGAACAATATAACACATAAGCAAAACATACAAGACCAAACAAGACTTGTTAAGATAGCGATAATTTATAAAACGCCATGTTTTAATTTTGACGCTGAATGAAAAGGGCCGATTCTAACTCAAGAATTACGATCAGGTATCTAATTCCAAACTCAAGAATAAAACTTCGGTATTTCATATCATTCTTAAGAATAACATCCCAACATCCCACATCCCATTTTATGCTCAAGAATAACATCCCGACATCTCATTCCGTACATAGAGGATCGCAAATGGGTAATGATTTAGTACTGAATTCATGAAATTAGTTGAATAATCTCCTGTTTTTGCTAGCCTTGGCGATGAAATAGTGGACAATATTAAGAGTTTTATAAAAATATAATATTAAATCATTTCCAATTTGAGATGTTTTTATCACATAGTTTTTATTTGTGGAAATTATTTAGACTGAAAGAAGAATGAATAATTTCATTCATTCTGACAACCGGTGCTCCTTTCATTTGTTATGCATAAAAATAGTCCTAAACTTTAATTAGTAAAAACAGACTTTATTTTTTTACAAACATTAAATAAAGGAGAAGGTTTCATCCGAATAAACTAAACATTCTATAACGACAAAATCATTTTTCAAAACAGAATGATCAATGCGATATAATGCCACATTGTTTCATACGGTGCACAGTAGGCTTACGGTACATGATTACCCTAAAATCGCACTATCAGAATGGAATATTGTTGCGATTTTCATGTATAAAAAGAATTACTATATGCAAATGTTCCCAAATTTACTCTAATGCAATTATGATCGGATATTTGCAGCATTTGATTTTGAACAATATACTGTACAGAAAGAGTAAACATATTTATTTTTAATAATATTTGCATCCAATATATACTGCATTAATATGCTGTGGTTGGATAAATTTATGTCAGTTGGGAGACCTATTTATGGTCATAGTCTTCTGTGAACAGAGGTGAGTTTATTTATTTCTGTAAGTTAACATTTAAGCCAAGCTTGTGTGAAGGGGGATTTTATATCTATGTTCAAGATATTCAGCCCCTCCACCCCACCCCACCCGCTATCAAATGCGCAATACCTCTAGTTTTACTTTTTAATGTTGTTCTTGTGTTGTAGTGTTACGCCATTTTTCGTATGATGATATTGTTATAAACTTATAAACGGCTTAACAAACCCTTTGGAAGGAACATAGACATATTCAAACCGAGATATTTTTCCTCATGTTTCTTTCGTGAGTTGAATTGAATAATTGCTGCCAAATGGTCATTAAAAAAAACATTCCAGAAGGCGGGGTTAAAATGATTTTCCACAATTGCATCCAATCAGTAAAGGGAATACTGCACAATATTTTCACAGGCTTATTTGGACCAATCAGAATCACGAAAAGTGATAATCTAGCATATTATAATATAACAAAATATGAAACTGAAAACATTATAAGCAAAGTGTACCGAATTTTCTTACTCCATACTCAAGAACAACACTCAGGCATCTCGTTCTGTGTCCATTAATACAATTTAGGCATAATACTTAATTTCGAATCAAATTACATAAGCGGCATCCTATTAAATACAAAATGACCACCTGTATCCCTGCTTCAATGGTTTTGTAATGTGGATTACAACTTTGTATCTTTTCAAGCGTTAACGTTTGTAAAAAAGTGCACAAAGTATTAAGTGCTTTTATTGCTTTTCTGGTTTAAGTACATTATTGTAATGGCTTGGCTATGACAAAGGAATCCTTGAGTCAGAGTAAGGTAAAACTAAAACTGGCATTTCACTGGGTTTTTTTTTCCGGTATTTTATTTGATATAGTTTTCTTCCTGATGATGCTCGGTAATTTAATTTTTGTTGCTATTCCATCAGCTTTGTTGTGCCGGAAATTGCATTCACTCA